GATAGATAGATAGATAGATAGATAGATGATAGATAGATAGATCTAAACTTCATCTAAACTGAAATATTCTCATTATAAACGTGTTCATTGAAATTTGTTCAGAAAGACTGATTTTAGAGGGATTGCGCGTTCATTAAACCTCTCGTCGTGCTGTGTGTGGTATAGTCTAGTATAATTCTTTATTAGGTACGTTTATTATACAGTATAATGATCGTCTGTGCTTAGTATCGTAGTATGTGTAGTATAGTAGCCTATCGTGAGTACGGATATTTCTCTTGTGCGTCCGCGCTTTTACAATATTTACGGGAAAGGAAAGTTTCAGGAAGTAGAGAAACTCAAAGCTCTTCTGCTTTCAAAACGCAATCATAAAACATTTACTGAAGAAATCCGCGTGTGTGTAAAGATCGCAGGAATAATCTGTTCTAAGACGAAGAAAAGTGTTTTGGAGATTGTGTTTTCGTGTAGATCAGATCAGATCTGACAGGTAAAATCACTTCACATTAATGACGGTACAATGTGTCAAATTCTACACGAGCTGATTTTGCGCGGATATACAATATACTCCGAATAAACAGCTTTAAATACCTGAACTTTAGTTAGTTTTCTTAGATAATATAGCAGATTCCTGAAAGATTGTTGAACTGATCTGATCTTGTGTACAAAGATACGCCGATTATAAACAACAAAACAGTGTTTCATAAAGTCACACAATATATTCAACCCCGTTTAAAAACAGAAAGTAGTTCACTTTCTTATTTTGAAGTCTCACACATAGAACATATAGACCTAGTGTGTTTATATATGTATGTTTGTGTGTGTATATACACGCACACACACACACACAAAACATTATTTATCATTTTTATTAATAAAGACCTCCTCAGATGTCAGATGTAGCTCAGGTTATTTATTATAATTCTGTGCATTTGCATACACATATACACCTGTCCTAATATATAAAAATATATATATTTACATTAGTTATCAGTGTTGGGGTAACGCATTACAAGTAACGCGAGTTACGTAATCAGATTACTTTTTTCCCAAGTAACTAGTAAAGTAACGCATTACTTTTTAATTTACAAGAGAATATCTGAGTTACTTTTTCAAATAAGTAGCGCAAGTTTTTTTTTTTTTCCAATTTATTGATTGACAGCTCTGGTGTCCCCATGGTGACAGAAATCAGAAGATGTTACTGTAGTTCTAAAATAAATATGAATATGCATTAATTAATCTCACTCACAAAAAAAAAAAA